ATGGTTCACGTGCGCAAACGTCACCATGCTTGCGATGTCTGTCTGGAGTCTACAGGCAATCAGCAACGTCTTTCGAATCACGTATGGAAGCACAAGCTACATCATTTGTGTTACAGATGCGGCATCGCGTACCGTAATAAACCGGATATCACGAAACATCTATTTTGGAAACACGGTACGGAGAGCGTTCTGTGTCGAAAATGCCTGCAGAAGAAATGGCCGCACATATATCATTTCTGTATACCGCCTACAGCGTTCGTTTGCGAGGAATGCGGCTTAAGTTTTGGACGCGCAGTAGCGCTCAAGGTGCATAAAAGGCTGCATTCTGGCGATTCACCATACGGTTGTGACGAGTGCGAACAGCGTTTCATATCACGAAAGCTCCTAGCTAAGCATCAAGCGGCTCACAGGGAACCTGAACCTGAGGATGTTCATGTGACGGATGTAGTTAACACTTCATTAACGGACAAGGATGAAAAATCGGATAGGAACACATCCGTAACTATAACCGATGGAGACTTGACGACGGGAGTCGAGACTACATCGAAGAACATTAAAGAGGCTGTGAAAAAAGTAGTCGATGTTTACGATCTACCGCCGCTCAATCTATCATCCGAAAGTGATACTGATAGCGAGGAGGAGAAACCAGCTTCCACGGAAAAACCACCAGAGAAAGAAAATATTGATGAAGATGCAGCAAAGAAGAATGAAGCTACTGAAACAATCGCTGCCGATGACGATGACAGTGCTGTGTTGAACAATGATATAGTTGAAGTGGAACGGAATGAGGAGGAGAAAAAACACGAAGCGCGTATTATGGATGGCATTTGGGACAATTTTAAAACGTATGCTGCCAGTTTGGACGTAGAGGAATCCGCCAAGAATGTCGCGTTGAAAGAGAGCGTACCTGAGACTGATGCGGCGTATTTGAGGAGTATCGTTTTTTCTGATCATGATTATTGTGTAGTAAATTGGTCCGACAAAGAAAAGAATGAAGATCAAGTTACTTCTAAGGACAATGACATGAAAGCGAACGATACCAAATCTGAAAGAAGTCCGTCACCCGGTACTCCGAGTCGTAATACTGGAGGCGACAGTGACGCGAACAAACGGAAGGTAAAGACTCCTAAGAAGAAGAAGCGGAGTGGCAGCACATCGTCCACGAGCGACTCTTCGAGCGATACCGACTCGAGCAGTTGCTCATGTGGCACCAACTGTAGCTGTAGCAGCTCTTCGTCTGGCAGTTCCTCCAGTTCTAGCAGCAGTTCCGATTCCGACAGCTCCGCGTCCGAGAGCTCGCCCAGAAAGCAATCCAGCAATCGTAAAGATCGGAATAAAAAGGAAAGGGAAGCTACGCGGGAGAACAAGTCGCAGTCCGTTGAGCCGGAGAGCAAGCCGGAGGACAAACTGGAAGACAAGTCGGAGATTGCAATAGAGAATGGTCCTGTGGTCCCTCTCGAGATAACGAGCGAGCCTTCTCCAGCGAAGCTTCTCTTGCGAGAATCTGATTTGGAAACTGAGGAAACCGAAACAGATGAGGATTTCTATGACGAGTACCCGCAGTTGCTCGCTAATAAGTTGATGGCGGAGAAGCGCAATCAGTTGCTGCTACTAGCTACTGTAGCACCAGCATCGACGCCGATCTCGACGCCAACCTCGACACCAACCTCGACATTGATGCCGGTGATGGACCAATCATCGATGCCACTGAATAATGGCGTTCTAGTCGCGGAAACGACACCAGATCCGATTACAATGACTATCGAGAATCAACAACTGCAACAACAGCAGCAGCAAAAGAAGAAAACGAAAACGAAGAAACGACGAAAAGGTGAGAGGGGCGGTAAGCGTAACGCGATTACAGCCACTGTGGAATCAATCAAACTGAACATTCCCAAGGCACTTTACCAGAAGAATCCGGGATTCGTTGCATCGTCGCAGTCAACGCTGGTATTGCATCCTAATAGTAGATCCTCGACGCCGAACCTATTGCCACCTGCAACGTGCAACGATTTCTACAGCGGCAATGCTACGAGCATTGCGATAGAAATGCAACAACAACAGCAGCAAGCATCGACTACCGCTGTCATTGGTGTACCGAATCAAAATGTCAGTGGCAACAGTGGCACGGAGATGGAGAACAAGAGAGTTTCGAAGAGGAAACGCGTGCCGAAGCGTTTTTACGGTGACTCGAGCGACGACGAACCACAAGAAAAACAGTCATTCAATCGGTGGCGGAAAATCGAGACAACCACTTCCACAATCGCCACTACTATTCCAGCTTTCACACCGCTGCCGCCCATGACGACGATGACGTCGACGAATCCGAAACCGCTAGTATCGAGATTGTCCTTGAGCGGAAAGACTATACAGACATATAGTAACAGGTCCGCTCAGGTGGAGCAGGCAGTGAGTCAGCAAACGGCTCTACCCGAGGCATCGCCAATCGTCGCAGCGACATCCGCCACCGAGTCCGAAGGTCCCGCGGAGAGTAGCAGCGATAGCAGCGAATCTGAGTCGGAGAATATCGTAAATCAATCGAAGATCAACCAATCAACGATACCACCTGTTAGCGCACCGACGACGGAGCGACCCGGCAAGATCTATTGTTACTGTCAATGTCCGTATGATGAGGTATCAGAGATGATAGCCTGTGATGGTGAAGACTGTCGCATCGAGTGGTTTCATTTTGAATGTGTTGGTATAATGGTACCGCCCAAAGGCAGATGGTACTGCCCAGACTGCAGAAAGAAACACGGTATTGTGCAAAATGATGAGTACTGCGATTGATAGTTGCCACGCGAGATATTAATGACAACGGCATGTTATTACCAAATTTGAGCGATCGTTGCTTTTTAGGCGTAATACTAGAATTTTCCTTCTTTCTTTTTCACGAGCGTATGAAAAGAAAAAAAATTGCTACACTGTTCCATGTTGATATTTTTCTTAAGCCAATACACAGAGTGTTTGTATATATACTATGTAAATACGTCTTAGAATTATAAGAATGAAATGAGGTTTTTTGTGTACATTTCTTTGTACTTCTTTTAACAGCGTTATGTATAAATACATAGCATTGGTAGATAGAATAAGTAGATAAGTAGATAATATCACCGACAAGGTATCATTATCAACAAAATTTTTTTTTTCCTATATCTGAATTAGCGTATAACAATATTAATTGATGATTTTTTTTTTATTATTATACAGATGCTTCATATAAATAAGCATATATTTACAGCAACAATATATTGCTGAAAATTACATTTTTTCCAACTATTATTTACATGGATGAACGCGGATGAAAATACGATATCGTAATAAACATTATCAGATGTCTATATAATAATAAAATTAATAATAAAGGATATTAGACTGCATATGATTACACAACTAAATAACAAGTCTTATCAATCTGAGATAGATTATTTATTAATTAATGCTTAAATAATATTTCAATATGAAATATATGTGTGAAATATATGTGTGAAATATATATGTGTGCGTGCGTGCGTGCGTGCGTGTGTGTATGTGTGTGTGTGTGTGTGTGTGTGTGTGTGTGTGTGTGTGTATTATTTCAGCGAGCAGAACTAGATATATATTTAAAAAATCTAAAAAACGAAAGGGCTGAGAGCTAACGTTAATTATTTTTTGCGCAAATTCTTTTATAATAATATATTATTAAATCATAACAAATTAACACCATCAGACATTTTAACCTCTATCGGATCATTATTTATGATAACATTAACTGTGAATTTTTAAATTCGTTGAAATATACATACTAAGTGATAAAGTTAAAAAATTGATCAGAATTCTGATTGAATTGAATCAGAATTCTTGCAATTATTTTTTCTACGATGATGCTATCAGTTTTAATTCGTGCTGAGTTTCTTGTATTGTTCACAATGTGTCTATGTATGCTCAGAAACACTACATAGATATATATTAATATTATTTAGGCACTGACATTCAGATTGATAAGTCTGAATCTTCTCGTTATTTAGTTGAATAAAATTAATATGATAGCTAATAAGAATCCTGCACATTTCTATAAGTCGGTGTTTAATGGTACCTTGTTGATGATAGTATAGGTAACGATGCGAAATCGTGAGCCTAATAATGTGGCAGGGTTGCGTCTCACGAATCTTAGGATCTTCACTTGAATCGCCTGATTGCAATTCGACTCGAGATTAGTATTTCTGGCAGTATCTGTATCAGTCTTTTTAATTTTTCTAAAACCGCGGGTACGGAAATTATGTTTCTTTTTTTATTGATATCAAACTAACTCTAAATTTTTTAATGGCTATACGCTAAGCGTCATTGATTTCTTTAATGATGACGGTGCGATGTGAATATTGTTGTATAGCGCTTCCTTAAAGCAATGTACCTCTCGGAAGGCGAATCTTGCTTCTAGTCTATCGTATAGGTATTGTCTTGGAATAAAATCTTATTCTTTCAGAAGTCAAAACATCTCTTCCACTGACAATTCTACCACGTAAAAAAAGCCGGTCTATGATAATTGTCTGTGGTTGTATTAATTTTATTGTATGGATTTACAAATATCGGTGAATAGTAGATAGACGTTTTTGGCTATAAACTTGATTAATAATAACGATGCGCAATCGCAAGTACTGTAATATTAGAAATAATGATGAATTATAAAATGTTTATTGAAAATTTTGCTAAACAGTATTACAGCAAGTACGAGGAAAGGAATCTACATCATGCTCTTTTACATTATTCCTCGAGTTTCGTGTGCTGTTTAAATATTTTTATGCGAACCGAAGAAGCAAACGACAAACAAATGCCGGCGACGATTCTACCAGCGTTTTCTTCTAGCGCCTCTCTTAATTTTAATTTTAAAAGAAGAAAATAGTCGCGCGCGCAATTTTTGTCTTTGGTTTATCAATCTCTTTTTAACGAACCTTGTCACAGCGGTACATAGCTGTAAAAAATTTCCTCTTAGAATACTTCAAGTAATCGTCGTGCTGATTTTTTCAATTGTCAGCCATAGTTTCCTCCAGCGATTCAACACCCACGATGTCCATGGTAAAATCTTTGTAAGATATCCTCTGTATCATAACGTAATAATACATTACTCTCGGGAAGCCTAATTACTAGTTTATCTTATTTATGGCCTATTTGCATAGTGTTTTTAAACATATTAGGAGCAAGATAGTTACCGCCGGAAGGAAATGGAAATTGAAGGATACAGATTTTTGAGACAAACTTCGTTGAGTCTCAACCATTTCCTCTTTGGGAAACATGAGTGTCTTGAGATATGTATATGCTTCTTCCAAAGTCAACAGTTCACCTATGACAAATAACAATATAAATAACAATATAAGTAATAAGAAATATTGAACTATGATTAAGATATTTTGAAAGTAGTGCAAGTTCAATTTCAGTTTTATTTTACATACACACATGTACATTATTTGTCCAAATTTTTATAATGTCTCTGTTTTGTTTATTTGAAATAATTTGTTGCATTTACTAATGTGCATTTAATTTAAAATATAAATAGAAGCAGAGTTAATAAAATACTAAAAAAGGAGATAATAGTATCTATTTTATTAAGTTATGCCTTTTTTAGATTAGAATTTGATAGTTATATACTTTTGGCAAACTCAATAAAGCAATCAAGTAATTTTCTAAAGTTAATGATAGATTTATTAGGCTCACTCTTAAATATAAATCTGTGAAAATAATTCAACTTTCTTTGTGTTATAAATTTTTGTAACACAAAGTTTGCAAATGTGAACAACAATGTTTTGCAAAATTTGAATTATTCTGATTAATATTTATTTTCTTAAAGGATATGAATCTAAATTCATTTTTTAATGCGAATTACATTTTGGTTTCTTTCTGAAATTAATTAATTCCTTTTAATAAATATAAATTAAATATAAATATAAATTAAATATGTAATAGTTTTATTTATTTTACAGATTTTAATATCGGTTCCAAAGAGTTAATGATATGTCATAATAATAGTAAATTCGCATTAATTCACCAATAGGTTTATCTTCTTCCAGTAAAGTTTTCGATACCGTTCCTCCTAATAAAATATCCACAAGCTGCTCTCGCGTTAAAGTAAGATTTTTCATACTGTCGGAATCTTCTTCGATGAACGTATGAAAAGCTTCCTTTATGTGACGCATGTAAATCGCAAACACCGGTCGGTGATTCACATACAGTCGTACGAATTCTTCAAAAGTGATCTCTTGTAAAAGTTTATCGGTTTCAACATAACGTTTGTAGTATACTTCTGTCATAATATTCTCTATCTTCAAAACAGATATTTTGTCTTAGTAAATCTTAACACGAAAAGATATTCGCATATCTTAAAGCAAATGAATCTTTTATTATATATAATTTTTGTGCAATTAATGAACACAAAAACAATTGTTTTACTTATTGCTTACTTTGACATAAACAATTTTATATTTGAAAATTTTTAATTTGTGACAGAAGAAAGATGTTTAGTATAAAAAATGTAAAAAATTACTTCAATCATAAAAGTAATTTAAAAAGTAAAAAAAGATATTTTCGGAGTTTGTTAAAGAGATCGACATTTAAAATTAAAATTTTGACTTATGAAACATTGTATATGTATACATATATTGCTTTGTGATACTTCTTTGTTGGTCGGAAAATATCCAATAGCTCGCATAAGATTTGGAATTTGCTCGACAACTACAGTGTCGGAGATGATTCTAGCAGCGGTCGTATTCTCGCCTTGATGTAATATCTGCGCATAATAGAACAGATCCTTCATCTCATTTGCTAACCATCCTTTTTTCCCACCTTTGATGAGACAATAAAATGGCGATAGTCCTTTTCCGCCTAATCGTGCCATTATATCAACAGATCTGAAAAATTGTTTTTTTTTAATGATAAAATTCGCTATATTAAAGTCATTAAACGATGATGTCAGAATTAAGAAATTTAGCTTTATACACAATCAAAGTAAATAAATTTTTCGTTCGCATATTCATTTAATAGAACGAGCTGTATAATAACCAGTGATTTTTTTTAGTATTAGAAAAAATGTATGTGAATTTTTACATAAAATTTTTACATAAAATTTAATACAGTTGAAACAACTAACTTCAGTTTGATTTTCCACATTAACACACATGGATCGTTGTAACCTGCGGTAAAAAGTATTTTTTTATTGTGGTTGACAGAGATACCTATTATCTGTAAATAAAAATGGATCATAATACTCTATCGTGTATGCCAGTTGTTAACATAAATGTGTATATATAAAATATCTAACTTTTTGAGAGTGGCCCATTGTACTGACAATCTTGTATGGATTACCATCAAAAGGCATTAACTGAAGACCAATTTCTTTATCGGTCGCAAATACCACATAGCCATTGTCAACAACTTTATCAGTTAAGATCTAACGACATTGTAGTGATTTTTAATATAGTAATTGATTAATTACAAAGGGAAAGGGGGGGGGGGTATTTTTCTGATAAATAAATCAAGAGAAAGAGAAAGTTTGAATTAAATATAAATTCTAGAAATAAATTCTTTGTTCTTTACAATATACTTTATATCGTGTTATAAAATATTTGACGGATATTTCTGAAGAAAAAAAAACACAGTTTAATTACCTGCTTATATTAATATGATTAAAATTTAATCATGTCTATTAAAATATCTTTTCAATGTTTCTACTATAATTTACATTTTCTATTTATAGTTATATAAACAGTTAAATAAACAGTTATATCTTATATATTTCTTGTGTTACTTGAATATATTTTACTGGCGTTGTAAACGTGGGTCCTAAATAAGTACCGTGAATTGCCTTGGTAGCATCACTGAAGATCTTATATTTGTACTGCAATTGTGAATTAAAATATTACTGTTTTGCTGACATGATCTAGAAGAATCGCAGGATTATTACTTCAGAATTTGAGATCATAAGAAATTTTTCATTGTCGGATACAGGGTACCACGCGAGGCAAAGAGGAACGGCACTTTGTTCGATCTGATCGATACGCAAGATTTTAAGTCCTGGCACTGGATATGGTCCGCTGTAATATAATTATAAAATTATCCTTTCTAAAAGAAAAATTATTACCTTTTTCAAATATTTATAATTATTTAACTAGAGAATCTAAATCACTACGTTAATCGCGATTCAAGATTGTAATAATACATTGGTCTTTTTTTTTATAATATAATGATAAAATAATAATTTTTATAAATTTTGGAGATACAAACATCTCTGATTCAAATTCAGAAAATCATAAAAGTCAAATGTTATTAAAATCGTCTTTCTTTTATCATGACTCTGAAATAAATATTTGTTTTATTATCTTACATAATATCGCATCCATATTATTCTACACGTTTATAATTCTATTATATCAATCTCATTCACAACATTATTTTTAATGACATTTACGCATATAAATATTTCAATCAAATCGCTTAAACTATTTTCCACAAATAACACAATGGAACGTTTACCTGTGCGCGAGATCATATTCGACGAGCTCTCGATCCTCTCCCAAAGAGAAAAACCGTGGTGCATCGGAATCGGACGCGGCCGGGCCGAAAAGTATATCTCTGATAGGTAAATAATGCGAGTGATATTTTCCGATCAAATTCCACATATTGTATTTTGAAGTGATGGTCGTATCATTTCTCTTAAATACTACTACAGTCAACGCGTTATCCTACAAATAAAATTTTTATTTATCTTTAGAGTCGATTAATTAATTTAATTGATAATATTATTGCCACAATGTGCAATATTATTCGCGCATTATCATGGAATGCGGGATTTCTTACTGCATAAGCCATGTATTCGGCACACCGTGTGAAAATAATTTTATTAATGGCTGTCGAAGAATGCTTATATGGTATTTCATCTATAGGATCTAAGGTGATATGATGTAGAATCCAAAGCGCTCCGTTCTTTAAACCACACACTAACATATCGCCTAAAAAATAATAAACATTCTTTTCGTGAATTTCCTTTTCTTCCTTTACGATAATAAAGAGACATTGAAGATTCATTAGTATACATCATTTATGTATATACATCTTGGCGAGAATTTCAGAGCCGTAACGGACTTCAAGGTCTCGTGACTTTGCGGACAGGTGACATAAATAATGTTTTCCTCAATCTTTTCTTTTTCGAGAATCGGTCGATAGTTTGGAAGAGGTGGCGTGCTCTTTGATGTTATCAGAATGCGTTTTTCATAATTATATAAATGTATGGTTCCCTGAGCGTCGCCCACAATCATATAATTGCTATCATTGAAACATTACTATTGTTATTAAATTATTATACTATATTTATTTCAACAGAATCTTGCTAAGCTAATTTGAAATTTTTTCACCTTTTTGGGTAACTATCCATACTGGTCACGATTACAACCGGATGACGAAATACAAAGTAACATTTCTGCTTTGGAATTTCCATTAATGCTATTATTCCCGTAGAAGAGCCTAAAGCGAATGCAGATAAAAAAAGAATGTGATGATATATCGAGTAATGTGTTTTATACATATATTGATGTTATATAATTCATATAATACAAGAGTTTCTTACACACAAGAAAATTTTGGACATCAAATGGAGAACATCGTAGAGTAGTATATGTTGATACAACATTCAATGTTTTTTTGGTAGTCTTGACGGCCTTATTATTGTTGTTATTTTGTGAAATGTATTCTGTATTTACAGTTAGTTTTGAAATCATCTCCATTCTTTTGCTATGTCTCCCTTAAAATTCATTTATAATTTTTCAAACTACATAAACAATAATGATAATCTATATCAGATTTCTGAATTTTTTAAAACTTTTAAATAAACTTCGATACATAAGAATTTTTTTCAGGGGATTCTTTTAAAATAAAGCTTACTTTTAGATATATCGGTGCTAATAAATATCGGAGCTAACAAATTAGATTGAAGATCGAAGCTTAGCCATCGAATGGAATCAAGATCGCAACTTTCACACCAATACAAAAGTCTCAATTGATAATCATAGAAAGTGACACGACCATTTGAATTTCCCGTAACAAGCATACTTCAAAATTAAATTACATTAAGAATACTATCACTAAATTTACTAAAGTGATTTTAGCTTTAAATTCATATACCCTTCGTTATCAATAATAACAGTAATACTGCTTTTCTGTAAGTTAAAAGTCTTTCTATGTTTTTTCTTCTTATTAATATCATCAGAAGCGTGTTTGTCTTTGCAGGAAACATTGTCCCATACTAAAATATAGCCTAAAATAATAGTAATATAACAAAAATATTATTTAATAAGTAATTAAGTTATTAATAAACTATTAATATATATATAAATATAGATGATACCATTTGTACTTGCTGTAAATACTTGTTGTATTTTTGGAACGTAGCATGATGTATTAAAGACACCAATATGTTGAACAACTTTTGTCATAACTTTGGGACAATCATAACTCAAAGCGTGACCATTCTTATTTATGAAATTAAGAAGAAACACGTTATATTATTTTATTTTATAAAGTTTCTTATGTCTGATCATACTTTATGGTTTTCATTTTTA